TTTAAATGATACAAACTTAAGAATTTTTTTTTTGGTTTCCGTTCCAATGTCACAGGTTGGTGGGCTGACGATTGAGTATGATGGGCTTATGTTTGTCACCATTAGTCGAGCTGGTCATGAAGTTCCAACTTTTAAACCTAGGCAGGCTCTTCAAATAGTTTGGCATTTCATGGCCAATAAGAAATTGCCACCTAAACCATTTTAGTCAATATTGCAAGCATTTTTTCTTGGTTCTTTTCACAGGCGGATGAATTGGAAGAAACTTTATGATTAGTTATTTTGTAACAAACAATAGTTGTAGCATCTGTCAGGATACTTGGCTTGAAATTTGTACAGCTTGGTTTTCTTCTATGGCAGAAATTGAAGCACCAGTATCAGATGCACATCAATTAACAAACTGATGAGTTTTCCAAGTCTATACGTCTGAAATATCTGCCATTTTAAGTTTTTTAAAAGAAAATTGTAAAAATAAAAGAAATGGACAAGGACATGGCATAGATAAAAAATTGTTTTCGTTGTCGGGGCTTGAACCCAGGTCTTTTCCTAATCAACTAGATTACAAAAGATATTTGAAATTTTATTGGTGTAGATCGAAGCTGGATTGGAGCTAGTAAATTCAAAACCCCAAATCCAATCTTAGTACATTACCCGAGCCAGTGATTAGTATAATTAAAATTACAAGAAAAATGTAACCTTCTTACATCCCTCGCCAAAAATTCTCTCTTTCCGAACCAAATAATAGCTATTCCTAGAATTACAACAAATAAAGGCTCAGAAGAATGAATGAACTTGATGGACACAAATCCTACAAGTTAAACCAGAAGCTTTGAGCTTTCCTCTTTTATCCCGCATTATTGTTAAATTACTCAAAAATCAAAGAAGCCCGGACCTGCCCTAGAAAGAAGATCCTTCCTGGCATCCTTCCCCATCATAACCACATCTTCAGAAACGTATGGGCCTTTTCTTGAAGTTTCAAGCACTGAAATATATATAGATAGAGAAGAAATGACAAAGTTAGAGGAAAAACAAATAATACTATTCTCATAACAGAAAGAAGATGAATAGAGATTTAGGTAATGTTAGAGCGCGATGATCATACCATTTGTTCCATCAGGAGAAGCCACCAATCCTTTAAATATGCAATTACCATCCTCATCTTTGTATGCATAGCCAGCAATAGGAGTACGGCAAAACCCATTCAATGTCTCCAGAAAGGCCTTCACATCCAACTGCCAGTCGTTTTTCATCTGATTTAATGAAGCTAGGTAACTGGCCTATAAATTAGAACCAACCAAATCAAAGGAAGAAAAACAATAGGGGATTATAAGAGACTTAGAGAATCACAACTTACAATAAACTTTTCAAGATTAAATCAGACATGGAAGACATAAATCACTGGAGAAACTTTAATTCACAGACATCCAGAGCTTATTCAATTGCCCAAACTACACATTAGATGACTATCTAAGCCAAGGCGAAAATAAGTTGTCTAAAATTAACAGCGGGATCATCCTTCTATGAAATAAACATTAACTCTAACTATAAAACTTCTTGAGCCAATGGTTCTTTTGTTTTTTTTTTCCCCATGAATTTTGTTGGTGCCATCACTTGTTATCTGATTATCAGAATTCAGAACTCTAAAGTACCATCTTTTCTCTGTTTTTAAGCTCTTTGTGGCCGAGGTCAAAAAATAACTCCAGGGTGTGATAGGAATTTGAGGTCAGCATAAATCAAACAAAAGTAAAACATACCATTTTTTCATCATGCTTCGACATGCAATTCCAATAGCCCCCTACGCAACAGCTGGAAGCATTTCATCAATTGAAAGAACAGAAGTAACATTTTCTGTCATGCTCAAGCGTCTGAGTCCAGCTAATGCCAATAAAATTGCTTGGACCACCCCTTTGTTAAGTTTTCTTAACCGTGTTTGTACATTGCCTTGGAAATTATCCTCCACCTACAAAATGGCATAGAAAATTATTACTAATTCAGAATAGGAAAAACAAAAGCAATTTTGTATGTTTCAATTCTAAGATTCATGCCTTGTTCACCATGGCTGCAACATCGACATTTTAAATGCAATGCAGCACCACTAAATCCTACTTTTTAGAAACAGAGTCACCTGAGATAAGATCAACAACAGATGGAAAGTTAGATTTCCAACAAAGGGAATCTCCAATAACTCTGCTAGTTCTTCTAAGAATATTATAAGATGACACAGGAAAGTAACTTAACTTGAGCGATGGACATCTGTGGAGTTTTTCTGATTTTCTTCTAAGTGATGCAGTACCAAGAACACTCCCAGCAGGGAGCTCGGCCAAGGAAGATGCACTCAAGCAAATAAATGCAGCACGAACATCCTCACGCTGCAGGTTGCAAGGTAGAATTGTCTTCTCTGGTAAATAAGTAGGAACGTCCTTCATTGAGTGGACAGCAATGTCAATATCACCATTTATTAAAGCCTCATCTATTTCTTTTGTGAACAATCCTTTCCCACCAATGTCTGCAAGTAGCTGACTCAGTATTTTATCACCAGTTGTTTTTATAACAAAAATTTTGATAGACCCTTCTTCAGCTAGTTCCGGATGGGAAGCCATGAGTTTGTCACGTGTCTCATGAGCTTGAGCGATTGCTAACGGGCTTTATTCAAACAAATTAGAAAAAAGACCACTTTCCAGCATTATAATCCAACCCATCGGAATTCAAAAACCAACAGCATCAGTGATCCACATTACTGAGCAACAATTCAGAAACACATTTCAGGAAAAAAGAAAAAGAAAAAACAAAAGGCAAAGAAAGTACCTTCCTCTAGTGCCTATTCTGAGAAGGTCAACTTCTGTCTTGGCAACGGAAGCTTTTATGATCCAAAAAACTCTGCCTTTTCTTTGAATCGAGAAGGGCTTGAGTGTTGAGATGTTGGAGAGGGGTCCCAAGAACAGAAGCAGAGCCACCGTCACAAAAATTGACTAGACCGCCGTGGTTTGTACATAGAGAAGAAGCTAGCGTCTTCATCGGCAGCTTGAAAATTCAATAGGGGAGGGAAGAAGAAGAAGAAAGATTAAATTGGGTTTCAAGGGATTTTTGTTTGTTAGTTGTCTGTTAGAAAAAAAAAAAAAAAAGAGTTGGGTTGAGAACGGCTACACAGTGGATAGGATTCATCAAACATTTTTTCTTGGTAAATTATTCATCAAATATTTTTTAATTCACCCTTACCCCTAATAAATATTTGTGTTAAATATAAAAATACTCTTATACCGTACATTTTTTATCAGTTTAATACTTAAAAAAATATAATTTAAAATTTAAAATTTTCATTTTCATTTCATCATCTACTTTTATATTTTAGACTAATACTGTTAATTAATTTATTGATATGATATGAATATCTAATAAAATTTTGAAATGTGTTAAAAAAGTTCAATAAATACTTTATCATCAATTGTCATATTAGTATTAAAAAAATTTTTAAAAAATTATAAGAAATTTAAGAAATATATTTTTAAAATTTATAAAAAATAAAAAATATGAAGATATAAAAATTTAAATAAATCTCAAAATTTTAGTAAAAATTAAAAAAAAAAGTTTTGAAAAAAAGGAGATTTTAATAAAAATAAAATTTTACTAAAATTCTAAAATGTTTTATTAATAATAGAATAAAATCTAAAACTTTTTGAAAAAATTTTGAAAATTTTTTAAATTTTGAAAATTTGAAAATTTTAAAACATATGAAGTATTCTAAAAATTTTTTAAAAATTAAAAAATTTCTCAAAAATTAAAAATTTAATAAAAGTCCAAAAAATTAAAAAAATATATCAAAATTAAAAAATATATAAAAAATAAAATCTTAAAATTTAAAAAATTGAAAATTTTTCATTTTTTTAAAAATTTTTACAATTTTAAAAATTTTTTTAGATTTTTTTAAAAAAAAAATTATATTTTTATATTTTTTAAGTTTTATGAATTTTTTTTTGAATTTAAAGAAAATTTTGTTTTTATTAAATTTTCATTTTTTTGAATTTTTTGAGATTTTATAAAATTTTAGGATTTTTTTAATTTTTAAATTTTAATAATTTTTTATTTTAAAAAATTTTAGTTTTTAATTTTTTATAATTTTAAAAAATATTTTAGATTTTTAAAAAAATTTTAAAATTTTTTGAAACTTTTTGTAATTTTTAAAATTTTTGAAAATTTTTTTTAATATTGATATGACAATTGATGATATGTCATTAATTGAATCTTTTTGATATATGATAGTATATTATTAGATGTTGATGTTACGTTAACAAATTGACTAATAACATTAGTTTTAGGTATCAAAATAGATAATGAAATGAAAGATGAAATACTAAATTAATAATTTTATATTTTTAGGTATCAAATTAACAAAAAATTTGTGACAATATATCTTTTTCATTATGCTTATAAATATAAACAGAAATTTGTAACAATTTTGTTTTGTTTTGGAGATAATTTATTCTATAAGCTTTAAGAAATTAAGAAGGAAGAAATAAGAAATAAACTATGAATTAGCAATTGCAGCAAAAGATTATTACTTTGAAAATCTAAGTAAAGTGATGAAAGAAATTTGTAAGCTAAACTTGTTAAACAAAATCATGCACTTTGGATTTGGCTATGAATGAAGGAACAAGAGGATCCAAGCAGGTGATTAGAAGGCTAAATTTTGAAAGGGATATTGACAATATAATTTTTAGATTTTACAGGTAGAGTATTTTTTTTTTAATTAAAAATGAACTCTTATAAGTTTTTGTTATTTGGGTGTTTATGTAATTGTCCAAATTTTATTATGTAATTGTTATTATGAGGCGGAATGTTCAAATCTAAAATTGGTAGGTTGGAACTGAATAAGGCTAAAAATCAAGTACTTGGATGAAATTTATCCAATAATCAATATGGTAGCTATGATTGGCCAAAAAATTCTATGGTAGCAATGTCACGTGGCGTTGCGTTTGGCCGACGCATTGCGTATTTACTGAAATTTCAAAATGTCCGGTTTACAAATTAGGGATTTGACAGAAACTTTTGAGAGCAAAAAGGTGATCCAAAGATGTCGTACTTGCTACCACACCTGCACTCAGGATGGGCTGTAGATCAGGCCATCCTGGCCGAGGAAGAGCGTCTCGTCGTCATCCGATTTGGCCACGACTGGGATGAAACCTGCATGCAGGTACACGTACACCCCACACCACAGCCTTCTCCTCTCTCTCTCTCTCTCTCTCTCTCTCTCTCTCTCTTAATCGCTTTTGTTCTGAATTTTACTTTGACCAGCGTAATTTCTTGCCCTTCATGGGTTTTCTTGTTCATAATATTTATTTCAGGTTTCATCACTAGAATTTGAAAATTTTAATCAAATTTGGCAGAGAGCATGATTGATTAAGAATCTCTGTTAGAACATTGATTATTTCTATCTCATAATAAGCAGCTAATCATTTTGGATACCGTAAAAATCGAGACTTTCACAGCTTCTTATAGGTCTTTCTACTATACTAGTATTATTAGGCTGGTTTCCTTCAAATGCCTTAATTTACCCTTTTAGACCTTCTTTGGCAATTTTTCAACAAGAGCCCTGCCCTGAGCCTAGTCTTCAATCCCTTGAGCTGATAGCGAGCACCCTTTCTTGCTTTCTTTGAAGCATGCATTGGTCACAATGATCACTTGGTTAGGAGCTACTTGATAAGTGCTCCTCACATAGCTCTCCTTCTGCTAATGCAAATACCCTAATCTTGGTTCTTAACGATATGTCTCCTGCCCCTGTTCGGTGAACTTGTCTGTAGGTGGCCAGTAAGTTAGTTTCTTTTTAAGTGTTTTTCTAAGTAGAATGTGAGATATCTATTAAGTTACTTATCCGTCATTCTTTCCCAGTTTTGATCCCTCATGAAATTACTCATAAATTTCAATGCGACGTGAACTATTTTATGAATGAATTAATTCTTAGTTATTGTGATTCAAATTTAAAATATTTGGACATAAAACCAAAACTGATAGTATCATCATTTAGTGTTTCAATAGGAACATGTCTTGTATTTTTCAATTGTCATCTTCTGTTGAGATTGGGTTTAGCTGATTAGGAAGTTAGAATCTTCTCCAAGTGAGCAAAAAGGAAAGAGAGATAGAGCTTTAGAGAAGGTCTGACTGTTTTACTGTCATCTTCTTATTGAGCCCAATGGTTTAGTTTAGTAGGAAGTTGGAATCTTCTCCAAGCGAGCAAAAGGGAAAGATGAAGAGCTTTCAACAATGACTTACTGTTTTATATTCTGAAGCATTGTGTCAATTACCATTCTATAATTTCCACTTTTTCACTTAAATTGAATGACAATGAAGTAGTCAGTAAGCTCTGTTTCACTTTCTAGTAACATTCCAGCTTTCTACTAATTTGGTTTATGCCCTCTGGTCAAGTCCTTAAGGACGGAACTTGTTACCTTAATTGGATGAGAGTTATTCATGGAAGCTGTTCCACAATGGCTCCAAATGGTTTTTTAGGTTGTGCTTATTGACATAATAGAGAAAGGGTTTTGTCTTGCTAATAACTGGGTCGTTACCTTTGGGCGTGTGTATGCATGTGGATGGACTTTAATAGTTTTTTGATAGGAACTTTACCTTTTTTTCTTGTTTCTATAGACTCCCGCATATCAGTAAACTTCATTTTCTATCTTTATTTATTCAATATGAAATGAATGCTTTAGTATTGACTTGCTTTTCCTTCCTCTGGAAAGAAAAGTGTGCTGTTGTTGTTGTGCTTAATGGGCAATTAGTTAATTGATTTATGTTTTTCAGATGGATGAGGTGCTTGCTTCGGTTGCTGAAACGATAAAAAATTTTGCCGTGATTTATCTTGTGGACATAACAGAAGTGCCTGATTTTAACACAATGTATGAGCTGTACGATCCATCCACGGTCATGTTCTTCTTCAGAAACAAACACATTATGATTGACCTTGGCACTGGAAATAACAACAAGATTAACTGGGCTCTGAAGGACAAGCAGGAGTTTATAGACATTGTTGAGACTGTGTACCGTGGGGCAAGGAAGGGTCGTGGTCTGGTAATTGCTCCAAAAGATTACTCTACTAAGTACCGCTACTGAATATTCTTGCGAGCTGTAGGTGATCAGGAAGATTTATGGTCATCTTTTGCAAATTTGATGCAGTACTATTTCATTTTAAACTGTTTAGATGTGAATGCAATTGCAATGCTTGTATGAATGTGGAGGATACTTGACCTGAGAGTAAAATTTGAGAGGAAAATTTGAAACATATATTTTATGTGCTTTTTATGCATGTTTGCCAGTACAGCATCTTGCACTTAAGACATTTGAGTGTTGCACTGCTACCAAAACTATGGTATGTTAAAACGCAGGTTCTGTTGTTGCCGGTGAATATTAGGCTGATGCATGGTATAAAGTTATGTGCATACGTGAAAATAAGTTGGAAATCTTAATGGTGTGCAGTCACGTCTTTGTGCAAGCTTTCATCATAGCTTTTAATGCATGTGTGCAATTGTCATGTATAAAATAAATATATGTGGTATTATTCGTGTCTTATTCTGTATAAAATTATTGCGTAGACAATAACTGGCTTATTGTGGAGTTTTTGATAATCAAACATAATAAATCTTAATCAAATTGATATTTAATTGGTTATGAACTACTTTAACTCAATTTCTATTATATTTAAATCATTTGGATAGTCATCCCTACTTTTTAAACTTTGACTCAATTCTATTTTGGTCCATCAACTTTAAAAAGTTTTAATCATATCCTTAATTATCTAACATTGTCTTATTTTGATTTTTCTGATAATTGACAGCAAATGTTAGTTGGTATAATGTGATGATATCAGCTAGCATATTACATGATAGATAAAAGATTAAAGATGAAATTATTTTAAAATTTTATATATTTCATACATGTGCTGTAAAATATTATATTTATATTTATATTTATAGTTGCTTTTTTTTTTGTTATAATATAACTTATTAGATAGATTTTTGTTTTAAAAAAAAAATTCAAAACTTAAAATTAAGTTAAAAATTTCAAGTTCTTTTTTTTTAAAAATTCAATACATTTTAAAAACAAAAAAAGTATTAAAAAATTATTTTACTTATTAGTCACAATAAAATATATTACTTTCTATCCAAAAAATTTTATTTTTAAAATATAAAATATCTTTTATTTTTTTCTTTTTAAATATATTTTGCAAAATACATTTTATAAAAAAGAAAAAATAAAAATGTTTTAAATTATGTTTTTTTTGTTTTATATGAATATAAAGTTTTTATATTTTTAAATAACTTAATAATCTATTTTTAAAATGATCTGAAAATTTTTACATAATATTTTAATATAATATAGAATTTTTATTTAATTTCTTAAACCGATATAAAAATTTTTATTTAATTTTTTAAAATGTTATGTAATGTTAAGAAAATTATTTTGAAATTTTCAACATACATTTAATTTTTTAAAAATTTATTTTCTATTAAAAATGTTATTTTATTGATAAATCATATCATAATAAAAATTTAAAAATATTTTAAATTATAAATTTTATAAAATATATTTGAAATATATAAAAATTAATTTTTTTGAATTATTTTTATCCTTTCCTTTATTATTTTTTATAAAATACATTTGAAAAAGGAAAATAAGATATATTTAATATTTTAAAAATTTTATATTTTATTGATAGAAAATAATTTTTTATTATGATTTATGAGTAAAATAATATTTTAATAGAAAACAAATTTTTTAAAAATGATATTGAAGTTTTTAAAAAATAATTTGAAATTTTAAATTAATTTTAATTTTTTAAAAAATATTTTTTGTTAAAAACAAAAATATAACTAATAAATTATATTACAACAAAAATATAAAAATATAATTTTTAATTTAATATTTTATAAAAATATATAAAATTTATAAAAATTTTGAGATAGTTTTATTTTTGGTCATAAACTTTGAGAAAACTCTATTTTGGTCTCTCATTTATCATGTGAGATTATAGCTGATGTCATCACGTGGTGCTAGTTGGTAATTGTCATCAATTTAGATGGTTTTATAAATGAAAAAGGCCAAAATAAAATAATTTTAGGTGATTAAAGATCTGATTAAAACTTTTTAAAGTTTAGTGATCAAAATAAAATTTGAGTTAAAGTTTAGAGACTAAATGTGCTATTAACTCTAAAAAAAAAATGATGAAGATGAGATGGAATGTGAAATTAATTTTGGTGAGATTAAAAATAATAACAAAGATGAGAGTAGTTATTGTAGTTGTGAAATTAATTATTGTAGTGAGGATATTAAAATCAATAATTGAGTATGTCTTTCGATGTAAAAGATCATCAACACTTGGATACGTGTTTTGGTGTAAAAGTAATGATTGTAATGAGATGAATTTAGTGAAAAAAATGATTATTAAAGATATTAGAGCAAAAATTTTATGTAATAAAAATTTAAATTATTTAACATTTATAAAATGAATAAATTATTAAAAACTAATAAATTATTTTTAAATAAAATAATAATTTTGTTAATAAATAATTTAAAAGTAATAAAAATAGTAATGAAAAATTAATAAAATTTTATTACATTAAATAAATTAATGTATTTCATAATTTGTAAATAAAAAATTAAAATGAAAAAATAAAAAGAAAAAAAATTAAATTATAAGGATATTGTTATCTTTATAATATAAAATTGGTAATCGGAGCTTAGCTTTGCCTGGTTTTTTATATTAATTTATAATATATTATTGAATTAATATTTGATTAAGTTAAAAGTTAGAGTAATATATGCAATAAACATAAAGTAATACTTTGAGAGAAAGCTAAAAGTTTTATTAAAGCAATTGTAAAACTAGGCAAAAAATAGTATATGTATAAAGTAATATATGCAATAATGACATGAACATACATTCAAAAGCTTTCTTTATGAAACTTTCATTCAAAAACAAAATGAAACTCACGGTTAGGTCTAACAACAAATGGGAAATCCAAATTCTCATGAACCTTTAAAATTTTTTTTTTTGGTTGGGATTATTCTCACAAAATAACCCACCAAAACTATACAAAGTACCAAAAAAAAAAAAAGTTCTTTACCAATTGATGCTCCTTATCAAATGTTGTTAAGAGCTTTATTCTATGTGATTTCAATGATAGACAATCTAGTTATAAAAGAATTTGTTGAATTTTCAACTGTTAAACATGGATGCTTAATTATAAGAGAATTACATCTTGTTTAAACTATTATGAATTTGTTCCAATGACAATATCAACAACATTGAGTCTCATAAATAGTAACAAATAGAAGCTAGCTTGGCAGATAAGATAAATTACAAAATGGACTCAAAGACCAGTTAAAACATTAAAGCAATCAGACGCAGGGCTGAAAAGATAAGAAATCATCCTTAAAAGAGCTCACCTTAGATTAAAACAACACTAAAAGAGAAGCCAATAACTAATCTAAATACTAACAAACAATCAAAATCAAAATTCACCTTAAACTTAAATGCAATAATACTTGAAACAATCCTTGTAGTTGTGAAGCATTGATAACCAACAGCAGAACTAATTTTGAACATAGTTGGAACATAATTAGAGATGATTTGAGAATTTAATCACTAAAGCTCAACATGATGTGAATTGCAAGAGATTTAGGATTTGTGTCATTTGGTTCAAGATCATCGATTAAAGGGCCCTATTTATGGTGATTTATGACAAATTGGTAAGCCATTACTAATGTCAATGCCTGCATTGAAAAACACAAAATAGTTCAATTTTTAATGATAACAATTACATTATATCATCTACTAGACATTACAACCAACATTAACATGACAAAAAAATGGATAAAGGCCATGAAATTGGGGGCTTACGATGTGATCGTGGTTAATAGGAGCATAAATACTAGTGCTGATAATGGTTTTTCATAGAGTACAATTCAATGGTGGATTAGATGTGTTCTTGAACCCAAATGGAACAACAATGATAGGCAAACCTATAAGATTTTTCATGTAAACTTGCTCTCAATCAGTTACATTATCAATGAATGCGTCAACAGCAAAACTTTCTTTTACCTTTTAAATTAACTTTACCTAAGCTCTTTGTGCTTGTGGACATACTTTCAAATAATGAATAAATAGAAATAACTCCATGAAAAATGGTGACCTTTTTATAGAATTTGTCGAGGTAGTTCTTATTTATCTTTGTTCTGAATCTCCATGTTTTGAAGCTCAAAATTAAAAGTAAAAAAATTGTGTCTTCCAATAGCTCATAAAAACATGTGTTTAAAAGGTATATGGATTCATTGATCTTAACTAGCATATAATTTACAGTTGAAATTACACGTGCACGACATAACTTAAGAGGCCATTGATCTTGAACTTCATAATCATCATCTTTCGCAGAGCATTATCGTTCATCAAAATGGGCTAACATGTCAACATCCATGATGAAATTTAGGATACTTTGAATAAAGTCCACAGTGTAATTTAGTTTGAAAGGAATCACCTTAACACTTTTTAATTCAAGCACATGAGCAACTTGGTTTTAGAATAATCAGACTTTAAGATTTACATTATATTAAAGTTCTCTCTAAGTAAAAATATAATATTGCAGTTCAATCAATTAGAAAAACAATGAATTCATAGTAATCATGACTTAGGTAATTATAGTTTAGTCACAAGTTTATGAAATAACACCTATTTGTCAACATCTTCAAAATAACCAACTGTAAGCTTTGTGATGTCAACTGAGAATGGATTATCAAAGAGAATAATCATCTGGATCTTTTTCTCTAATGGAATATAAAACAACCTCACAATATTCAGCATTTCTATAGAATAAACCAAGCTTATTCTGTTAAAAAGATAGAATATAAAAGTTATTAAAAATTTACCCTTAGAGCAGAAAGTGGTGGTTGGATACTACTTTAACTTAAAAGGGGATGTCTTCTATGGAGTGATATTACTAAGCTTTTTGATATGCTTATTATACCAGTTCGGCCAATTGTGCCAAAAGTTGGCTACAGTGTTGTCACACCATACCGAGCAACAAGGTAAGTAATGGAACTAGCTATTTTTAAACCAATCACAAATGAAACCATACCTAAAACGTGAATTTAATTTCTTAGATGGAGATGCCTAAATTTCATAGAAAAAGAAAAGTCATTTATGGTATAATTTGCTCTTGTTATTAACCAAAATAGTTCTAGATCTATTTGCACACTTATAGATAGACTATAGCAATGCATACATTCTTGTCAATCTCATTACAATTGAGGGACTTATATAGGTAACCTTTTCATATACAAACATTGGACTTATTTTTTAATGTTGGGTATCACTAATATGTTGTAATTTTCAATTACTAATCCAAAACAATATCAGATATACAATATCTATATGCCATATACTTCTATTAAAAATAACATCTTAAATAAGCAATTTGCAATCCAAAGCAAGAACCTCACAATAATACACTACTTGCTTCTATTAAAAATAAACAACATTCTATGACAATTTACGTTCTTCACATAATAAAATCTCATAGCACAACCATAACCATT